AGGCAGACTGTAGCTGTGTAGGAAGTAGGCTGGGCGCCGAGCGCCAAGTAGGGAGATGGGGCCTGGACACTCATGTTGGTGGTGGCGAGAGCAAGCTCTCATTGACATTGGCTTTCAGTGTTACGATTCTTCATTGGTGTTATATTGGTGCATTTCTGCTTTCTGGACACTGTGATACTATCTGGCCTTCAATGTGATTGTGCAGTCTGGTCATTGTCATCTCGCTATTGCTCATTTTCCTTGCACTACAGTGTAGAATCTACTGTGAGGGTGCAAAAAATCAATTGACAATCTGGCGGAATGCACTGAGACGGTGAGACACCAATCGAGTGTGACCCCCTGAATCCAAGTTACCATTGAAAACAAAAAAAAAAGGAGATGACAGGCCATTAAAAAAAAAGAAAAAAAGATAGGCCATCATGTCCTTCTTACCTGCATGTTGACGATGCTGCAAATGACATTCCGAGTCATTCCGCGGAAGCACAGTATAACAAACTTCTACCTGCAAGTTGAATCCACTTATGACAAAAACAACAAAAAATCCGCGCGACGGAGCACAGAATAGCCAAAATTGACAATCGCAATATTGAGAGACGACAAAAGGAATCACATTTAATTTATGTAAATGAACTTGAAATTTTTATTTTAACTTTTAAGTTAAAATTATATAATTGAAAAGGATTTCACGTCTCAGTCAAGTCCCATGTTTCGGTCCCAGAGTCCAATTGTCCCAGTCCCGTGCACAATAGCCAAACCAGAAGGCCCAGCGGCCGAAACACTGATTTAGGCCCAGTTAGGTCGTCAGATTTCTTATAGGTTGTTAGAAGTCTGGTAGGCCTGCTACCTGACAAGAAAAGTCCAAGTCCCAGTCTAATCTTAGCAGCAGCATCCTGGGAAAGTTTGGCGAGTTCCAGAACCGACACAATTGTGGCTGACAGGCGTTGGGAGACCGTTACCAGTCTGGAGCTGACAAAGATTGTCAATTGAGCTGCTACTTAAGCAGCTACAGTACCCTGGGTCTGCATGTTGCGGAACCGCTGCTGTACCAGCCTGTACGCTTGTGCGGCGGTTCACGGCGGCTGGTCGAGCATACTGGTGGAGTAAGCTGGCGCGAGTTGCCATAGCTAGGACTAGCAAGGAATGACGAAGATACCATTGCCGATAGGGTCTGAGCCTTGAGTGCATTCACACACACACACACACACACACACACACACACACACACACACACACACATATATATATATATATATATATATATACAGAGAGAGAGAGAGAGAGAGAGAGAGAGAGAGAGAGAGAGAGAGAGAGAGAGAGAGAGAGAGAGAACAGATGAGTGGTGTAGTTAGGGAAAAGAGTGAGACTTTGAGAATTTGGAGAGGGAGGGAGAAAGTGGCAGTGGAATGGAGGATGTAGGGACTGTGGAAGTAGTCTGCATCCGTGCTTGCATGGCATGGGGACAAAGGGAAATAGATGCCAGCATGGTCATTGTTGAAGATGGATGAATGGATGGATGTATGGATGGATGGATGGCTTCTGGCATCTTACCCTGTCCAAGGAAGCTTGGTTAGGTACCCATCGCTGAATGCCCATCTCTTTAGCTCCAATCAAGACCTGACAAACACAAAAGAAGAGACAATAATCAAGCACGCGTAATTATTATTAAGTTATATTAACTATATAATATTTATTTATTTATTTATTTATTTTATTTTTTAAATAAATTGGCGAGGTCTTGGTGGAGACGTCCAAGAAGATGAGTGCGTGCTTCTAGTAGGTCGCGTTCGTGTCTGCAATTTTGTCTTTTGGATAAGCCCAGGCGGTCACCTCTTCATCTGTGTTGTCCTTGCAGTGTCTGACTTTGATTGTGACTTTCTCGCCCTTGATTTAGGAATCGCAGGGTCTTGTGATCCACGTCGGATCCAGTCTGAGTTGAGCTGCTTGGGGGGGGGTGCTCTTCGCCGCTGCTGCGCTGTATCGACGCTGGTATGTTGGTGCCATGTTTGCGCTGGTGTGGTGCTGTGTCTGCGTTGTGATTTCCTCGTTTTTTCTTTTTTTCTTTTTTCGGTCTATGTGAGCTGCTAGTTATTGTTTTAAAAGTATTTTTGTTTTTTATTTTCTGATTATTGTGTCTTGGCTGATGTAGTTGCTTGTTTTTGTACAGGCGGACTGATTGGTTGCACCCTAGATCTTTCTTTTTTTTTT